CTTCCAAGGGAAGTGGTGCTGGCCCCTACCCTGGGGGTCTTTAAGAAGAGGCTGGATGCCCACCTAGCTGGACTCGTTTGAGTCCCATTTCTCTTTTTGGGGTTTTTGTTGTTCTCCCGCCCTGGCGGGGGGTCGGGCTAGAAGATCTACTAGGTCCCTTCCGACCCTTAATCTATGAAAAAATCTATGAATCTATGAATTTTACATAGGCTGCCTGAAAACACTTTGGTTACTGAGATCTGATCATGATCAAGCAAGACCACACTGAAATGGATAACCTAGGTATAAGTGGTTCTGCCTCCTATTAGTATTCCCTGGAGCTGTTCAGGCTGCCATATATATGTGTGTGTGTGTTGAGTTAAAGTCCTTTAAAATTTGTCCCTGTCCTGCCCATGTATCATAAACAAGGCTGAAAACATAAGATCCGTTGTCCCACTATTCATTCATCAGAGTACATGTTTAGCATTGATGAAGCAGCGGTGAATTATGACATATTTAGCAGAAAATAGTGTTGGAACCAAACAGTAAGCAGCACTAGGACTTTGCGAACAATCCTTATTGTTTTTCTATTGTCTCCATCACGTCTTACGAGTCATAGTACAGAGCGTGACTAGTACGAAGAGGAAACGACAGATGCTTTCCTTAATAAACAATATATATAGTCAATAACCCATGGATAGGCTTACTTTACGAGAGAGGTTCAAAAAGCAGAAATGCCCCTAAAGGAAAATCATGTTACTGAAATCAGCCCTTTGATGGTGAAGCGGCGAAAGTTAAAGCTCCTCTTAAACCTCGGCTCCTGTAGCTCACAAGTGAACAGGCCGTTAGACATATTTCACCCTTTTTAAATGATGGAAACAGCCCTACCTAGCTGTGTGCGAGTTCTGAAGAGGAAAGACAATGGTGGTAAGTGGCTCAGGAAGTGGGATTTCTAGGCTGTGTCCCCACATGCAGGCACGTGTGCCCCATAATGCAAGCTTGCAGTGCGGGGGCAAAATTTGCTACTGGGATTTTCTGGTCGCATCCCCCCCCCCCAAAAAAAATGGGAAAAAAGCGGCACAGCAAATGCTACAATAGCGAGCACCAGTATAAACCCTCCAGGGAGACACTGGCTGTCAGTCAGAGTGTCTCCACTCCTCCATTTGTGCCCTATCTGCTCCAGTACGCTGGGAACTGGGAGAATCTGGACCAGGGCAGTTTGCCCAAAGCGGGACACAGTGTCTCCTGCAGCAAAGCACATGCGCTGGGGTGTGCACCTGCAGCAGTACAAAGTAGCAGCACAAATTTGTGCACCACTGCATGCCTGGACACGGCCCTAGGTTCTGCTTTTGGTGCTCAGACGGACTCTTCCTTCTACCCACGTGCTCCTTTGTGTCATGGTTCATGTGCATCTTCCTCACAGGATTCTTGTGAGAATTAATGAGAAGAGTTTTATGATGCACAGATGCCAGACGGTGCAAAAACTCTGAGAAATAGTTTTGGGGGTTCCCTTTTTGGGCCACCACTATATGACTGAATTGCATTTAGGCCGTGGAGCATGCATACTTGGTTCTAAAATTTACACAAGAACTAATTCCTGGCTCTTCTAGTGTGTTTCATCCATAGATTTCCAACTAATTTGCAAGAAAGGTTGGTGTTATCATCCCTGTTTAGAGATGGGGAAATTGAGCCTTGGAGAGGGGAAATGAGTTGCCCAAGATAACTCGACAAATCTGTGGCTCTCCCAGACCTTGCACGTGTATCTCCTGAGTACCAGCCCCTTTGCCCTGTGTATTGGCCTGCATATAACACACACCCACAATAGCTGTAGAGAGATCTGTTCTTCCAGAGCAGTTGAAACTCATTTGAAATGCCCCTCTGGACTTCGCTTACCTCAGGAGAGGGACATGCAGGGAAATGCATTTGCTTATTTTACCTGTCTTGATTTATCATAGCTTTTAAGCAGATGCTTAATTTCCACGAGCGTTCAGCAAAGCTCATGAGAATATGCTAAACTTTGGTGGGACTTGGAGCACCTGCTTGAAGTTAGGCACATGTTGAAGTGTCTTGCTGAAATACAGCCTAAATACGGTCTCCAAATCTCACTCGTGCAGGCTTTTAACTTTGGCAAGAAGAGGAAAGGCTTGAAGATGCATAGTAAGTTTTACCTGCAAAGAAGTGCTGCTTGTAACTTTGTGGTTTATCCCTTCAAGTATTTAAGGAAAATCATCAGCAATTGCAGTCCTGCCATATTACTTTTGATAGGGTAAGTGGGCCCAGGCAGTCAAAGGTGGTGACATGGCTACACCAGAGTCCGGTTTGGTCCTGAATATATAGCTGGCTGAAGGATGCCCTGGATGCTACAAGAGAGACTGTGAGTTCAGCAATAGGTACGTCACAGAAGGTGCTGTACTCGGTGCGGAGGCAGAAGAAAAAAGTTGGCTTCCAGTTGCTGCATTTCCACCCGCAATCCAAACGTGCTTTCTCTGACTGTCACGATTTTGGCTTTTGTGATCATTTTGCTGAGGGCCTAGCATCTTATATTAACAACACTTTTATGCAGACTCTGTTCCCGGCATGCTTTAATAACAGTTTAAATAATGCAATGACAGAGTTAAATAATAAACAGCAGCAGAAGGAGCGAGGAATTCAAAGGAACAGGCGAGGGATTGGAGACGCATTTTCAGATGAGATTGGGAGTGAGTTGGTGTGATACAGGAAGGCTGGTCCAGATGGCAGGAGCTGCAGAGGGGTTGGATCTTGCAACAACAGGACTGCAGGAAGTTGGAGGGAGGGTGGTAGGGGGAGAAGAGAAGAATGAGCAAGGAGGACTTTAGTGTGTGTGAGAGCTGGAGCTGAAAAAACGTGAAACTGGTGTGTTCTCCCTATAGCGAATTTTAGGTAAAGGGCAAGGGTCATTCAGAAAAGCCTTCTGCTCTGCTGTTGACTTGGCAGTGGCACGTATCAGAGATGTGAAAGATTATCTCAGCTATATTTTTTCCTCCTTTACTTCCCATGCAAGCTTTAAATTGAGTCGTATCAGCCACCTTTACAGGAAATGGAGGCTTTCTCTTAGGTAGTAAAGATCAAATAGAATGGCTCTGTATGGGCTCTCAGGATGGTTGAAAAGGTTGTTTTGGGGGGAAGTGAGGGGCAGGTTGGGATTTAATTCTGTGGAGAGCATTTGAAATCAACTCAGTATTGAACAGTAGTATCAGCAAAGCTGAAAAACGTTAATTTTTATCTCTAGAGATCTCATTCTCTCCCTCTGCTTCAGATTTCTAGCTAGATTCTGCATAATGGGAGTAAAATTGAAGAGAGAACTTTGTCCTTTAAATATTTCAGTTCATAGTGCTCCATCACAACGCTGCTTATTGAGAATGAGTTTTACTGACGCTGGATGCTTGGAAGTGAATATAAAATGTTAATTTGAGGAGACGCATTCAACGTTTCCTGAATTTATT